TATATATATATATATATATATATATATATATATATATATATATATATATATAGATATATATATGGACATTTACGTATCAGTATTATACATGAAACTACTGACGGAGTCTTGTAGAACGGCACTACGTGCACTTGTACACCGAGTTGTACTACTGCACTACTACTTTGCCGGAGAAACTGATACTTGTGTTTGTCGGAGCTACACACTTGCTATACTTTGCCGGTACTATACATAATACTATTTAAAGTATAAAATACTATGCAACCACGATTTACGACTTACACTCACAGATTCTTGGAAAAACTTACGGCACATTCCAGTTAAGACATTTCACCTTACTAAATCATTCACGAAATATCTTTTTTTTTCATTTGTTTCCGGCACTTTATAAGATCCCTCGCGTGCTTGCTGATTAACGAGTACGTGACATTTATTAATACAACTCTATCTTGTTTGTTCACGGGTAAACGTTTTAATAAAACCTTATTCAAATCGCAGAATTAACTATGTTTTTACTCAACTGAATATTTTTATGCTCTAGTGTTATGAATCATTTTGTTCGATTCCATTTTATTATCTGTATTATCGTTATTAGTTTGAAAGCATGTATTGTGAGGTATTCGAGTGTTTTGTAGATTTTCAGGATCGTATACACAGAAGAAAAAATTTACTTGAATCAAGAAAATAATTTTGGAGAATTTTATCATCTTTATTCAAGTAGAAAAATTCTTAAGCTAAGAAATTTTTCTTGGTTTAAGTAAATTTTACTTGATTCAAGAATTTTTTTTCTTGATGCAAGACAATGAAACTCTTCAAAACTATTTTCTTGGTTCAAGAATTTTTCTCTTGATTCAAATTATTTTTTTTTTCTGTGTATACTCTGGAAAAATCGATAGTTATTGTCAATGAACTAAGAAGGGTAAAGTGATTGTAAATTATTGTGATAGTGTTCTATCAGAAAGAAAAATTAGTTCAATGGATGTGAATTTTTTCAGTGCTAATAATTGAGAATCAATATTTTAGTTTCAAATAACTAAACGTTATTTTTGCTCTTTCTATTTGTTACGGGTGAATAATTCACTTCTGTAAATTGATAATATTATTTGTGATAACTATTCAATTGGTAGAAATCATATTTGATTATTATAAAGAATAATTTAAGAGAGAAGTGAAAACAAATTTGATTTACTTTGGAAGAATATTATTCAACTTTTTATTAACATGCTTTTTTGTTTGTTCATTTTGTTAATATCCGTCGATTGTAGCCGGTCTTATGTTTGTTCAATTATATTGATTACCAATTATCACTTTATTTAATTATATCAAAAAATAGCATCAACTCAAAAATTTATTCATGTACACAGGAAAAAATTTTGCGTCAATGCGTCAAAAGATTTTGTTAAATATTTAACACAAACTTTTTTGACGAAATGACGCAAAATTTTGTACTGTGCATAATAAAGATCTTGTCAAAATTTGAGCCTTTAATTTTGTCATTTAGAGTTACCAAGTCAAAATTTATAATTTTCTTTTTATAATTAAGATAGAAAAAAAATTGTTTTTGAGTTTTGGAATTTTATTCCTTATCTTTAAACAGCTTAACGGCCACATATTTTTGTAGAAAAGAGAACATTCTGCAACAAAGTCTATGTTATTTTTCGATAAATTTACTTTCTTAAAAATGATTCTAGATTTAAGTTGGACATATCCTAAATTGTAATTTTGTCTTTCATTTTCGGCGAAATTATTACAAAAATGATTGTTCAGATAAAAATTTTTTAACTATTTCAAAGAATATCTAATTCTGACTGTATATACTAACGAAAAGTTGAGAATAAATTTCAACGATTAAAAAATAATATGGTTACGAGTTTAAATTTTCATTTTAACTCCAAAAGTTATTAATATTTAAATTGAAAACTTTGTGCATGACTTTATAATTTTTTACTTTCAGTCAGAATAGCGAATTTTACAGGTCAAACATACATCATTCACAGAATATACTACTAAATATTATTCTTCTTTTAATTAAGTAAAATATTACAATCTAACGCTTCAGGTTTTTAATTATACAACTAAACTTTGAAATTATAACTCAAAAAATTAAAAACCATATTTTAAAATCAAATTAAACCAAAAAGTATAAAATATTTTTGAATAGCTTTTAATAAGTTTAAAATAAAAATAGTGATTATCTGTGAAAAAATTTTCTGATACGTTTATTAGGGTGTGCCAAAATGTAACTTCCTTAATGGACCTCTTAAAATTGGAATTTTGAGTTGCGCTTTTAACAGGAGTTGTGTTTGGGCATTTCCTGACATATTTTGAGCGTAAAGGGTTTATTTGATTTTTAAAAATAGATATTTGATTTTTATAGAATTTTTTAACAGGAGTTTTGTTTGGCCATTTTTGCTAGAATTTCAAAATTTTAAAATTTGGCCGAACAACTTCTAGATAAAAAAATTCTATAAAAATCAAATAAATCCTTTACGCTCAAAATATGTCAGGAAATGCCCAAACACAACTCCTGTTAAAAGCGGAACTCAAAATTCTAATTTTAAGAGGTCCATCAAGGAAGTTACATTTTGGCACACCCTAATGTTTATATAGGACATATAAACATATCAGAAAATTTTGATTTTTCCATATCAGGACATATATGGCTTTATCAAAAAATTTTATATCCATATGTCAGGCACTCTATATAATAGCTATATTAGAAAATTTTTTTACAGGTAGTAAAAATATTTATTTTATTGTAATAAAAACAGTGTGAGTGCTTTATAAGATATTTTTATAATTGTTCGACTTTTATAAATACTTACCAATAAAGTATTTACAACAGTTTCATCCCATATTCCGGGCTTTCTGTACAATAAAATAAATTTTTCATTATTCACTTTATTTTTATTTGCAACTTATTCAAAATTATTTCCAACTTTTTAGTTTGATTTGCTATTAAAGTGCACCTTTCAGTCTTTTAAACAATAATTTACCCTCATTATCTATTGACCCACATTCATGCTCATTCTTATTATATAGACGATAATTCGACTTTATGTTTCATCAGACTTCCAGAATATCATATCTAATTATAGTTTATCAAACATTACTATAATGATAAGTTTGTATATAGTTATGAATAATTGAATCGTATATTGCTTATCAGTAAGACCAGGAAGTTTGCAGTTATACTTCTGATTAACCTCAAATACATACATTATAATATATATATTTTTAACATTTGAACAATGTTAATTTCCTGATAAGTTATTGGACATGGTTGACGGAAACATGAATGAGTGTTCCGTTCTATAGTGAGTTATTGTGTTAAATTTTATAAGCTGTCTTGTTTAATTAAATATCCTAATTAACGTTTCCTTAAAACATTATTCGAGAGAGTTTTGCTGATATCGTGCTTTAATTTCATATATTTTGATTCTATTCATACATGTCTTATTTGAAATGACAATGAAGTTTGTTCATTTAATATAACTTTGTCTCTAGTGTGGCAGACAACTGATGTAATAGTTTTCGTTTTAAAAATTAAAGTATAAAAAGTTAAACTTTTGTGAAATTGAACTTCATACTCTTCGGTTTAAAATATTGATCAATGATCATGGAAGAGAAGTGAAAAAGTGAAAATCAATTTTTTAAAGTAAAACTTTTTTCGGTGCGACAGTAACATACGTTTTTTTTGTATATCTTACTCATTTTTATCTTATAAAAAAATAATTGAAATTTACTTTAACGGAATTGCACTCTTCACTTTTAATCTAAAAATTTTTTATTGAGCATGTTATATACGGGACATTAAAAAAAAATAACTTATAACTTAAATTATTAACAAGTCTTATTTATTAATGAACTGCAAAGGTTCCACATAAATCGACTTTTAATGGGACCGGGAGCAGAGGGATCAAAGATTAAAATATTATTATATCTTAATTATGCCCGACGGACTTTGTTCGGTGAACAGGCCCACTCAGTGAGCAATACGTCACTGTGGGCTCCCCAAATTTACAACACGCACCTGACAAGCCATCGTTCCCGCTATTTCTCACCCGCATGCGTAAAACCGCCTGACTGATCACGCCACAGATATCGAATTTTACCATTGGCTATCGATGTCGACATCAATAGAACGAATTTATTGATTGGCTATCGCTCTCGTTAGACATGCGCAGTAGCCTTCTTCTCCAAGACGAGGAAGAAGACGAATTATTATTATCTTTCGCTTCTCCGCCATTAAGTCTAACGCTTCGCTTTCCCGCTATTTTATTTCGCTCATCGTTAACTAAACGCATTTCGCTATTTTTATAATTTAAATTGCTTAAATTAACCGCTAATATTTCGCTTCAGTTTGTTTCAGATAAATTGTGTTTATTTGCCTTTGTTTCACCGCTTTTTACAGTGCCGGCAGTTTACTCAACCACGTGCTAAACGGCTTCGCTGCTGCTAACCACGCTGTGTATAACATATCCGCTTTTATTTAACCAATCCGCTATTAAACAAGTTAAATATTGATTGTATTTATTGTTAATAAATCTCTAGTGTTATTTTTAATAATAATTTTTGTATTTTAATTGAGATAACCAGACCGAAACCTGATCCTTAGTTTTTCCGCTCTTTCAGCACTTTACAGACTTCAAATTTTGGAGAGTTTTCTGTGTCTACGAAGAACGAGTCTTGATAGAACAAAAATGGACTTTCAAGAATTTAAGTTAACGTTTTTTAAAATATCATCATTTGTTGATTGTAATTAACTTTTTATTCATGTTAATTTTTTTTTGTTATCCTACTTGTGATGTGCAACATGAAAAAAAATCTGGAAAACGGTTGACCTTGCAGGCCATCCCTGAAACATCTCACTATATATAAAACACTTAAGAAATGATCTATTCCGGTTTTGAGCTCTTTGAACTCGAAACTTTATTGGTTGTTAAGGACATACTTTTTTGAAAATTTTTACTTGCGAACGAATAAATTTTTTTTGATTGAACTTGCAGCATTCAACGCAGTTTTTCAAGCACAGAAAAATTATTTGTTAACTATCAAATGATTCGACGTGAAATTTTAAAGTTATGTTAAAAAAAACACTTTTTTGGAATTTTTTAAAATTAAATATCTCTCAAACAGGTGGATCTGTTAATTAACTTCCCAAATAAAAAACGATCCGATGAGAAATTTCGAAGTTATTTGAAAATAAAAAAATACTTTTTTCGCAATTTTTCGTCACTGATATCTCTCGAACGAATGAATCGATTTTGATTTTTTAAGCGGCATTCGGCGTCATTTTTCAACTTTAAAAGCTGATTAGGTTGTGGAATTGATCGATGAAGCAGATCACAAGTTATTTTGGAAAACCATAATT